TTTTGTTCTCTCTCATCAAAATCCACCAACATATTTGTTTAGAACGGTTTGGACTGTTTTCACTTGTAATCAGTGCTTAATCTGTGCATATTTCTCTCCTGATTCTGATGAGATGACTCATATCTTAGTTTTGAAGTTAAAACATCTTAATGATGGATTTGTTTCTTACAAACATGCAACTTTTCACTGGCACCCATTCACTGCAGAGAATCCACTGGTGAGTACGAGATGTAATGCCAAATTTCTCCAAGAAAGAAACTCATCTATATCTTTGATGGCTTGTGGGTAAGTAAATTTTCAGTAAATTTTTACATCTGGGTGAATTAGTCTTTTAAATTCAATATATGTGACCCTGGACCACAAAGCCAGTCATAAGTAGCACAGGTATATTTGTAGCAATAGCCAACAATACATTAACATCAACAATATGGGTCAAAATTAACGATTTTTTTTAAGGCAAAAAAATCATTGGGATATTAAAGTAAAGACCATGCTCCATGAAGATATTTTGTAAATTTACTACTGTAAATATATCAAAACTTAATTTTTGATTAGTAAAATGCATTGCTAAGAACTTCATTTGGACAATGTTAAAGGCGATTTTTTTCAATATTTAGATTTTTTTGCACCCTCAGATTCTAGATTTTCAAATAGTTGTACCTCGGCCAAATATTGTCCTATCCTAACAAACCATACATCAATGGAAAGCTTACTTATTGAGATGTATACATCATTCAGAGGATGTATAAATGTCAATTTAAAAAAATGGGCCCTTATGACTGGTTTTGTGGTCCATGGTCACAATATTACATTAACCTTATTTTGTTTGTGTAATCACCATTAAAAAAAATATATGGTATCATTAATAGGACTGATACGGTCTATTATTTCAAACAACAGCTGACTTTCTGTTCATGGAGGTTTTGACTAAGAAATTTCAGTTCATCATTAGTATTAAATATCAAGAACACCCAACACATGCTGCCACAGTACAGATCTTTTAGTTTAACACTGTGGTACAATATCAAAGGAGAAGAGCTCTGGCCTGGAGTTGTCAGCACGGATCTTTCAAGACCAGACAAGAAAAAACACAGACTTTTTTTACTTTTCCTCCCGCAGTGCATTTGTGCCAGCCGGAATGATGAGGCAAATGTAAAAACAATTAGACATGGAGAGAAGGGGAATATTTGGAGAATGAGAAATGACTACTGGAACGTAAATCCGACACTAAGCGGAGGGTATGGCCAAATACATTTGCGCTGTCAAAGGCAGACGAGTATAAAAAGAGACGTTGAGGTACGCTCCACCCTGACATCATTTTAGCATGGGTTATTTTAGAGCGATTTAAGGATCTGATACCTTTTTGTGGTCCCTCAATCATCACAGTACTGTATTGACTCCTATAGAAACCTGCATATACCCAAAACATCATTAATCTTCAGAAAATCTAACTGATTATTTGGCAATCGAGCCTCCAAAAAATAAACCATTTTTAAAACTGCATCAGGCTTCAGTGCCAGTAAGGCTGAATTGGAAAACTCAAGATGGACCAAATTTGGGCTAAACCAGGTATCCGGTTTCAAAAACGGGTGGATCTGGGCAGGTAAGAGAGTCTCTTTCTCTTTTCTAAGGAGCAGCTAATCTCCTCTCAGGTTTAGATTCCTCAGCTGGATGCTTTGAGGAGAAGGAAGTGAGGGGTGGGTAAACTGCTGGGCTCTCACAGGAGGGATTAGAGCGGCTATATATCATTGTGACAAGCCTTTTCAGCGCATGACAGGCCACCAGGCCTTGTGTGCGAAGGAGATCTTGTGACACTTCCTGTCACTCACTGGCCAGGCACTGATAGGGCCAAAAATGACCTATATTGTCACCATCAGATCACCTTACTAACACCAAGGCACATGTTAAATAGTTATTATAAAGGCTATCTATCTAGCGTTTTCTTACAGCAAGCCAAGGACACGTTAAATTGATCAAAAGTGAAAGTAATATATTTAATGGTTTCATAATAAAAAATGCTGTTCTTTTAACGTTTTGATTCATTGAAGAATCCTGAAAAAGGATATTATAATATCTATCTATCAACATTTACAGTACAAAGCTGCTATATATCTATCTATCTATCTATCTATCTATCAACATTTACAAAACAAAGCTGCTATCTATCTACATTTACAGTACAAGCTGCTATGTGGCTGTTAGATTCATGCTTGCCACAGTCTGGATTTAATAAGGAAAACTTTGCATATTACAAACATACTGTGGAAAGACTGAAAGAAATTATTTGTTTAACGAGGCCTGTCATTGTTTACACACAATGAATCACGCAAACATCTCTTCGCTATCTACGTGGAGGGTGATTAGCAAGAAATACTTAAACAACCTGGAGGTCCATGACATGGAGGTTTTGGTCTCAAGCTTCACTGAAAAGTGTTGAAAGACTTAAATCAAATCCTGTCCTAAAAGTAATGCGTCACTGAACACAGTCAAGGTATATTACGTTTTTGAAGCAGAAGTAAGAAAAAGCAAAAAAGTTATTGATAAAAAAGACGCAATGTTTTTAATGAAGACTGAATGTGTATTTATGAGATGATGTTTACCGATCCTTATTAGATGCCAGTGTTCTTAAAACAACAAACCCTCGACAAGTCAAGTGCTCCACATGTACAAACATCTGGCTAGGAAAAACAAACCCAAAGATTCTAATCAAATAATCCTGGAAGACTATAGAGACAAAATCGCCCACATGTCAACTTAAAACTACACTTAACTAAACTACTCTTAAATGTCAACTTAAATGGATAGTTCACCCAAAAATGAAAATTTGATGTTTATCTGCTTACCCCCAGGGCATCCAAGATGTAGGTGACTTTGTTTCTTCAGTAGAATACAAACAAAGATTTTTGAACTCAAACCGTCACAGTCTGTCAGTCATATAATGGAAGTCAATGGGATCCACGGCTTTGAGAGTAAAAAAAAAAACATACGCAGACAAAACCAAATTAAACCCTGCGGCTCGTGACGATACATTGATGTGTAAAGACATGAAACGATCGCTCTGTGCAAGAAACTGAACAGTATTTATATAATTTTTTTACCTCTGATCCACTGCAATGTCCAACTGTCCTGAGCGCGTTCACAACATCCGGCGCGTGACACGTGCTCTTGCAAAGTAGATGCATGAGTGGAAGCAATCTTTCGCAAGTATACGTCACTCATTTTTATCTGCTTACCCCCAGAGCATCCAAGATGTAGGTGACTTTGTTTCTTCAGTAGAACACAAACAAAGATTTTTTAACTCAAACCGTCACAGTCTGTCAGTCATATAATGGAAGTCAAAGACCTCAATGTATCGTCACGAGCCGCAGGGTTTAATTTGGTTTTGTCTGTGTATGTTTTTTTTACTCTCAAAGCCGTGGAGCCCATTGACTGCCATAATATGACTGACAGACTGCAACGGTTAACGAGTTAAAAATCTTCGTTTGTGTTCTACTGAAGAAACAAAGTCACCTGCATCTTGGATGCCCTGGGTGTAAACAGATAAACATCAAATTTTCATTTTTGGGTGAACTATCCCTTTAACTACTCTTCAACTGCATCTTCTTTAGTGCAGACAAAAGAAATGACCATTTCTGATGGTATACATGTCAAAGTACAGTTATTTAATACAATATTCTCTAAAAGCATATATTTTACAATCCATTTTACAAATATAGCCATCATCATTGGGCAATTTTTATAATGAAACCTATTTATATTATCTATTTTAAAATAATATTCTACCCTGCAGTCTATTTATAATGTAAAACTCTCTTTTAACCTTTAGAATGAGACCATTTCTGATGGTATACATGTCAAAGTACAGTTATTTAATACAATATTCTCTAAAAGCATCTATTTTACAATCCATTTTACAAATATAGCCATCATCATTGGGCAATTTTTATAATGAAACCTATTTATATTATCTATTTTTAAAATAATATTCTACCCTGCAGTCTATTTATAATGTAAATCTCTCTTTTAACCTTTAGAATGTAACTATATTTTTCCTACCATGCCTTTAAGAAACCATTTATATGTGAACTGAGCAACAGTGCTTTACCCTAGGTGAAGTTATTGTTAAATTTATGGCCAATTTATGCAGAAATCAGTATTTATAATATTTTTTCATAATGTACTAAGTTATTTCATTTTAAAAGATCAATGAAAATCTAAATTGCTTGTGATATGAGCCTTTTAAAAGTTTCCCAGCGTTGATCATCAAAACCTGATTTTGACTGCATGAATGATGCCAGTGGAATAAATTCGGTATAGTATTAGGCAATGGAAAGTCTATATATTTAACTGTTGTGTCATCCAAAAACCCTCAGGCGTGACTTGCAGCAGAAAACATCTGACGGTTTCACTGCATCTCAAAAACGATCTGGATAAAATACCGAATTAGGAGGCATGACCTCTAATTAAAAAAACTTATATCACATACTGTATGAAGGTAGTTGGACGGGTCAGAACTCACAAAGTGAATCTTGGCAGCTATTTTGTGAAGCATGAATAAGCGCATCTGGGAGGAATTATCCTCATTATTACGGGACCTACGAGCGTGATTTACGCATGGTCTTTATCTGCACTTCCACTATCTCACAAAAATAAGCATTTTATCATGACGAACACATATTACAGTCACTCCCTCTGCTGTCTGAGCGGTTTTTAATGGGGGCCGCAACCACACAGGGCAAATTCACACATCACTCTCTATTACTTTTTTCCCCCCGGAGCCACAATGGCTAATATATAGCGAAAATTTGTAATTAATTCTCCAAAGGACACGTGTTAGACCTCCTGACCAAGCAATGAGACAAGGTTCCTCTTGGATGTTCCTAGACCTTTTATCCAGGCCAGATCAGGCTCAGATAAAGCTTATAAACAAAGCAATATTTTCAGATTTTGGGTGAACTATCCCTTGAACAGACATAATGATATCTCATTAAGAAAATTACCTTGGTGTGATCAATCTGAATTCCATAGAGCAGAACATTTCCTTGTATGACTTCAGAGGCCAGACTCCTGAAGGCTGTTAACTCATCTGTCTTTTGGCTGCCGACAGACTGCTTTGTCACGTTCAGCTGTACCTGTCAACAAAAAGAATAAAAAACATCTCCACTTATCTATAGCAGGGTTTCACAAACTGAAAGATCGTGAGGGAATAGCTGGGAGTTCATAAGTTTATGAAAGGCATAGTAATGACACACATGTCAAATTAAATAAATCTATATAAAATCTATAACTAAATAAATAATTTTCAACAAACTTAGCAAAAAGATTATTATTTTACGTTTACCTGCATCTTATGTTACTATGGAAACCTGTTTCTGCCACTTAAAAAAAAGGTTATTGCGAGTTTTTATCTCGCAATTCTGAGTTTATCTTGCAATTCAGACTTTTTTCTCAGAATTGTGAGATATAAACTCGCAATTGCAAGTTAAAAAGTTCAATTCTGAGGGGGAAAAAAGACTGGTATGTCCTCAAAACTGTGAGTTTATATCTCACAATTCTGACTTAAAGAAAAAAAAAACTCACAATGGCATATAAAAACTCACAATCAAATTGCAGTTTAAATCTTGCAATTCTGAGTTTTCGCAACTGCAAGTTTATATCTCAATATTCCTCAAATGTAAACTCGCATGTGTGAGAAAAAAGTCATAATTACCTTTTTGTATTGCCAAAACGGGCTTCCATATGTTACCAGTAACTGACATTAGAGAAATGTGCCAATGTGTTGTTAAATTATTAAAATATTAACTTAAAATCTAAACTTAAATTAACAAACAGGGTACTCAAAAAACATTTACTAAAAATAAAACTTATTTATCTGCATCTCATGTAACCAGTAATTGAAATATAAACATGAACATGTATTGTTAATTGCTATTGAAATATTGATTTGAAATAACATTTAAAAAATAAATAATTACAACATATAATTAAAACAAAATAAAACACTTACTAAACAGATTAAATATTTTGTTTACCTGCATCTCATGTAACCATTGTTGTTAAATTATTGAAATATAAACTGAAAATCTAAACTGAAAAAAAAATAATAATAAATACTTACTAAATTGATGAAATACAGTATTTTGTTTACCTGCAACTTAAAATCTAAACTGAAATAATTAAAAAATAAAACACTTACTAAAAAAGATGAAATATTTTGTTTACCTGCAACTCATGTAACCATTAACTGATATTAGAGAAATGTGAACAAGCAAATGTGCTGTTAAATTATTGAAATATTGATTTGAAATCTAAAATTGAATAAATACATTTTTAAACAACGAAACACTTACTAAAAAGATACCATTTTTTGTTTACTTGCATGTCATGTAATCATTAACAGGCATCAGACAAACGTGAACATGTGAATGTATTATTAAATTTTTGAAATATTAACTTAAACTCTCAAGAGGAATTTAAGTAAATACTTTAGGTCAAAGGGGTTCAGCTGCCAAAATAAAAATGGCAAATTTCTGATCAATAGGAATTAATAAACATTACAATACTTATCTAATCATCTACAATGACTCATTCGATCCAAATGGGAATTAATAATACCATAATAACCTGCAATTACTTCAATTAAATATTCCCTATTCGTAAAAAAAACTATTCTGGGAATACAGCCGTGGGACAGGCCCATTAATTTTAAAAGTACCCCACAGTACTCTTTTTAATAAACACTCAGCGCTCTCTGTGCGTTTGGACAGGTTGAGCTCCCATGCAAAACAGAAAAAACAGCTCTTAGCGAAAAGTTTCCACTGCAACTGATCCAGCATTCACCGATCCGTTAAATTAATGTGATTTCTTTTTCCGTTCGCTTACATCACCGTTTCAGGAAGATGTGGCTTGTATGCATCCGTACCAAATAAAACAGGCCGTTTGAAGAAAAACATATTTCTAACAGAGGTCATACCCCAGTATCAATTGGGGAAACGTTGTTTATTCTGATTCTAATAGATTTTTTTGTAGTTTCATAAAGTATCTCTACAAGTACAAAAAAGGTAACTGAAAGCCTAACAGGAAATGTTATAGAATGTTAAGCGGATCCAAATGTAATGTAAGTGTGAAGAAAGACAAGCAAACCTCTGAACAGCTCTTTATAAAACCATCTTGAGGTTTTACTCGCAATCACACGCTCTCTCAGCCACATGTGTTATCATCACATCTGTGGTGATGATAAGAACAAAGCATCTGTGAAATCCAAACAACGAGTGAAAACATAATGATGGAGAGTAGAGGTTATCTAACAGGCCTTCAGAGGGAATGTTAAAGGAAGCACATATGGATTCTGAGAAGGCTGGATTACCACAATGGGGTGCGGATCCCTGGATTCAGAGATCAAAACCGCAGGAGCAGATATTTTATGCTTTCGAAACATTTAAGAAATTAATCAAGGTAAGAGTGATGACATTCCCAGAGATTAAGACTAAGATGTTCTGAGGAACAAATGCTGGACAAGAACCAGGAAACAAAGCATCAAGGGTTTTTCCAACTGCCAACACCGCAACGTCAGTAAGTCTTAGCACTTCTGCGATCTGATGCACATTGTGTGTTTCTATGTCACAATGATGAAAACGAAAAAATGAGTTTAAGGTTAGACTCTCGCCTCTCACAATCAAAAATCACTTCTCTGTGTGTTCACACAATGAATGATATGTTTGGTATTATAGCAACAACCTAAGGTTAAAATAACTTCCAGGAACATAAAAACAAAATAAAATCAAGCAAACACAAAAATACAGCAGTTAAAATTAGATTTTCTAAATTAACTTGGTAAAAATTCTGAAATATTTTCTGGTAAAATCTTACTAAACAAGTCCCTAAGTGAGCGTACTTCATAAAAAAGTTTTCCACTTGCATTAAAACTAAAAATTATTTTAAACTAAACACTGAAAAGTCAATGGGGTGTATGGAATCTTACCCAAACAACAACTACTGGGTATAAACGAGCGTGGTCCGTATCCTCAAAACGTTTCGCCATGTCCAGGGTCCCCAAGAAGTTTGATGCAGTCGTCTAAAACAAAGGCACAAAACAACATTAATGTCACACCAAGATAATTTGCAAGGGGGCAAAAATTATGGCTTACTGTGAATAAGCATAATAAGACTTACCCAGACTAAATAGAACATTTAGAAAAATGGATAACTACATAGAACATTTATTAGAAATGTTTTACATTATGTTTTTACAAAGAAATGGATATGTTTTTCAGAAAGAGCAAATTCAATAAATCAAAAGTGACAGTAAAACCATTTATAATGTGCCAGAAGATTTCTATTTCAAATAAATACTGTTCTTTTGAAGTTTGTTCTTCAAATAATCTTTTCAAATAGGCATTCCACAAATGTTTTCAATCTATTCTAATGGATCATTTAACACTGAAGATTGGAGCTATGCTTGCTGAAAATTTAGCTTTGCCATTACAGGAATAAATTACATTTTAAAATATATTAAAACAGAAAACAGCTTTTTAAAATGATAATATTTCAGAATATTACTGGTTTTACTGAATTTTTGTTCAAATAAAAACAGCCTTGGTGAGTATCAGTGACTTCTTTTAAAAGACCCCAAACTTTTAAATGGTAGTTTGTGAATCCATAATGAATACAGATCAAATGTGTGTTTGCAAAAAAGTTATTTGGCTATTAGTTAACACTATCCAATAGGCTAGACTGTCTTATTGATGTCAGCAACAAAGTAAATGTATTTCAGAGTGGGATCAAAGACATATTTTGATTAAATATTACAAAGACAAGCTGTTATTTCTTTTTGAAATGAAATGCACAGGTCAGTCATTCACAGTAAGAGCAAGAAAACGCATTAAAAAGTCCAATTTGATTTATGTAGGCTTTAACATTGAATTACTTGTGTGTGTGTGTATGTGTGTATAGTTGACGTACAGATATGTGAATAAAGTTTCGGGTTTTGGACAGGTACTCTGTATGACTTTCCTTTGCACATGGAATGATATCTGTCTCCATCTGAGAAAAGGAGAAAAGAGCTCAAATTCAATAAAACAAGCAATCTCACCATCACGGCAGACAAAACTTTTATTTATTAAGATCTAATCATTCATCCCTTTTCATAAAAAGCAACACAACCACAGATGCTCTGCATATGAAATCATATTTTAGTCCTCATATCAAATCACATCCTGTCCCTGGCCTTGTCGAATATCTTGTACAGAGATGAAATAAACAGAAATAAACAGAAGTGTTTGGCACAGACTCGACCTTGACGAGAAAACTGGAAATATGAAATTGCTATTGGAAACACATGCGAGGAATTATTCGTTCTTGAAAGATAACCAACCGCGGCTTTAGACGAAAACCAGCTCGCTCCAAACTGTGGATTTACGAGATCAATTCGACATCTGAACCAGGTTGGGCTGTTGAGCCCACACGAGATACTGTTCACAGGTTATTTAAATGGTGGCGAAGCAGGAATAAGTGCTTCATAATGACCAAAAAACAAGCCACACACTTGGTTCTCATTAGCTATTACAGATCATGCAAAAATTCTGGTAATGCTTTCATTTCCACACATTTACAAACAAACAATCTTTTTGATAATTCTTAGGGATTTGTAAGCTATTCAAAAACAGAAATGTGCTTTTATCGGGCAAGGGACTCAATTTTAACCACAGTTATGTGTTGGGAATCATGTCGGCTCATGTTGTGGCTTAATCCGAGGTTGACGTAGGAATACATTACAGTCAAGAGTTATGCAGTATCACTGAAATGCCAGGATTACATGTAGTCAATGGAATTTTATAGTCTCCGATGGATCTAAAGTGGATTTTGTGTGAGATTTACTTATGTAGCTTAAAATGATATACACACTACCTACATGCTCTCAGTTCTAAATGATCTCAAAATCCTACAGCTGAGGAATGCGAATATCACTCAGTCATACACGAACTGCCACGTTCGAGATCCGCACCTTATGGAGCACGGATTCAGACTTTAATTCTCTGAGTCCTAGAAAAAAGTGTTCGACCCTTGTGAACTTGAGCCTTTGATGAAAGTAGATGGCAACCCGTTCCAGTTCTTATCAGTAGCATACATGGATGTAATTATTACATCTCGCTAAAAGGATCATCTTATCACTCTCTGTTGTCCTTTATTACCAAAACACATACCTAGAGCCAATCGCACCACCTGCACGCCTGGAATGGTCCCAACTTTGAGTTTCACTTCGCTGTAATGGAGATACTGTAATGGGGCTTAGATTTACAAATGGCACTGGGACAAATTTGATTCCTCATCTCTAATCTCCTCCTTTTCTTTCATCTCCCTCGAGTCGTAGGAACGGCTCGATAGAACTAACCACGGCTGGCACCTGGGGGAGCGGCAACGTCTGGAACCAATCAGCCATACGGGACACTGGGTGCTCTCATGTTTGCAACCTTATAAAGAGGAGGACATGTGCTTGATGAAGAACTTGGAATGGCTACAAAAGAGGATGGGCTTCCAGAGCACAGAGCCTGAATAAAACACATAATATTTCCTTTTGGTGCGCTGTAAGATGGATCTCCTACAGCGAGAGCTACAAGGTGAAGACATGCCTCCAGCTGGACCGGCTCCAAAAATCAGTGTGGAATAAATGGGAAGGTGGTCACACTTGTACAAGACACCTTATCCATTTCAACAAGCACATCCATTGGTACGGCTAGGTTATCGCTCTCACCATCTGTTAGTCCTCATGCAGTTGCAGGACAGGTGAAAGCTTGGTTGTTGGACGGTGTGAGTAGGAAATTGGGGTAAAAGGAGTTGAGATGGAGACAGACAGCTTTAAACATCTACATATGCAACACATTCCTAAGCAAAGACTATTTTAACTAAACCGTAAGACGAGGGATGTCATCTTTAACATACCATGTTCAGATTTTTCTGAAGTGCTTTGGCCAACTCAACGGCTTCTGCTTCAGCTCCTGCGATGATACATGCTGACATTGAAAGAGTCTCTCAAGAGAAAATGAAAATAATGCTTCAAGACCAAACAGATAATCAAGTGCAAGAGTATGTTTGATGTAACCTTTGTCAATGTAATTTAACCCTGTTTGCAAACCAGTTTTGGAGAAGCTACCCCAAGAGTGTTGGAAAGTATGTAATATTATGTAATAAAGAAAAAAATAAATACAATTTGCCACTTCAAGCATTTTATCTCAAGAAAACCGGACAAGCTTCTTTCATATCGATTGGTATCAAAGTTAATCAGAGTGTCTTAGTAACAATCATTGTGTCATCTTTAACATACCATGTTCAGATTTTTCTGAAGTGCTTTGGCCAACTCAACGGCTTCTGCTTCAGCTCCTGCGATGATACATGCTGACATTGAAAGAGTCTCTGAAGAGAAAATGAAAATAATGCTTCAAGACCAAACAGATAATCAAGTGCAAGAGTATGTTTGATGTAACCTTTGTCAATGTAATTTAACCATGTTTGCAAACCAGTTTTGGAGAAGCTACCCCAAGAGTGTTGGAAAGTAAAGTAAATTAAAATCAAATAGTTTTTATGTAATAAAGAAAAAAATAAATACAATTTGCCACTTCAAGCATTTTATCTCAAGAAAACAGGACAAGCTTCTTTCATATCGATTGGTATCAAAGTTAATCAGAGTGTCTTAGTAACAATCATTGTATTTAAATTCAGGGATAAATGGCTTTTTCCTGACCTTTCATTAAAGGTAAAAGCACGGATATATTGGACTAGGCGAAGCAAACTTTAAATACAGCCAGAGGGATGCTTTATTGCAAAGACAGAACTCAGAAATAGGTAGGAGACCCAATACTCAGCCAAGTTTAAAACATTTTTAGTCAATCTGTTGTTTTATTCCACTTAGTTTGGTATTTTGGAACTGGGTTACAAGCCAACAGCAGCTTAGTGCACTGGCTGAATAGAAAAGGTCATAATCTTAGTAAATAAATGCATGGAAACTTCGCTAAAATCACGCACACATACAACTGAACCACCACATATTTATGAAAAATATTACATTTTATCCAATTCTTCGATTTTCTGTCCAAACCAGAGAACTGGCCCTTTGCTGGGTCAGCTCATACCTTACAGGTCATTTCTATAATTTCTCTTAATAGACATCTTGAAATGGCGGTTAGCCTTTGTGGTTCACAATCTCTCTTTGTATATTTACATACACGTTACTAACAGTTTGTTTTTGCCCAATGATCCTGACTGTGGAAAACTGTCTATTTTGACTTGCCCAGTTAAAATGTATAATCAAACAACATCAAGTCTGCAATAACAACAGTGAATGGCAATATTGTATTCCCAGCAATGACTCAAATCAGTGGCTGGTGAAATATTTATTTATTTTCTGCGCAACTTAAATACAATACCTTTAATTATAGCCTCCGCAGCTGCTAGATCTCGCTTGTATGTTACCTACAAAAGGAAAACATCACATTAAAAGAGAAACAACAGTTTGTGCTTAAAATAAACTTATCACTCTCTGTTGTCCTTTATTACCAAAACACATACCTAGAGCCAATCGCACCACCTGCACGCCTGGAATGGTCCCAACTTTGAGTTTCACTTCGCTGTAATGGAGATACTGTAATGGGGCTTAGATTTACAAATGGCACTGGGACAAATTTGATTCCTCATCTCTAATCTCCTCCTTTTCTTTCATCTCCCTCGAGTCGTAGGAACGGCTCGATAGAACTAACCACGGCTGGCACCTGGGGGAGCGGCAACGTCTGGAACCAATCAGCCATACGGGACACTGGGTGCTCTCATGTTTGCAACCTTATAAAGAGGAGGACATGTGCTTGATGAAGAACTTGGAATGGCTACAAAAGAGGATGGGCTTCCAGAGCACAGAGCCTGAATAAAACACATAATATTTCCTTTTGGTGCGCTGTAAGATGGATCTCCTACAGCGAGAGCTACAAGGTGAAGACATGCCTCCAGCTGGACCGGCTCCAAAAATCAGTGTGGAATAAATGGGAAGGTGGTCACACTTGTACAAGACACCTTATCCATTTCAACAAGCACATCCATTGGTACGGCTAGGTTATCGCTCTCACCATCTGTTAGTCCTCATGCAGTTGCAGGACAGGTGAAAGCTTGGTTGTGTGAGTAGGTGAGTAGGAAATTGGGGTAAAAGGAGTTGAGATGGAGACAGACAGCTTTAAACATCTACATATGCAACAGGTTCCTAAGCAAAGACTATTTTAACTAAACCGTAAGACGAGGGATGTCATCTTTAACATACCATGTTCAGATTTTTCTGAAGTGCTTTGGCCAACTCAACGGCTTCTGCTTCAGCTCCTGCGATGATACATGCTGACATTGAAAGAGTCTCTGAAGAGAAAATGAAAATAATGCTTCAAGACCAAACAGATAATCAAGTGCAAGAGTATGTTTGATGTAACCTTTGTCAATGTAATTTAACCCTGTTTGCAAACCAGTTTTGGAGAAGCTACCCCAAGAGTGTTGGAAAGTATGTAATATTATGTAATAAAGAAAAAAATAAATACAATTTGCCACTTCAAGCATTTTATCTCAAGAAAACAGGACAAGCTTCTTTCATATCGATTGGTATCAAAGTTAATCAGAGTGTCTTATTTAAATTCAGGGATAAATGGCTTTTTCCTGACCTTTCATTAAAGGTAAAAGCACGGATATATTGGACTAGGCGAAGCAAACTTTAAATACAGCCAGAGGGATGCTTTATTGCAAAGACAGAACTCAGAAATAGGTAGGAGACCCAATACTCAGCCAAGTTTAAAACATTTTTAGTCAATCTGTTGTTTTATTCCACTTAGGTTGGTATTTTGGAACTGGGTTACAAGCCAACAGCAGCTTAGTGCACTGGCTGAATAGAAAAGGTCATAATCTTAGTAAATAAATGCATGGAAACTTCGCTAAAATCACGCACACATACAACTGAACCACCACATATTTATCCAATTCTTCGATTTTCTGTCCAAACCAGAGAACTGGCCCTTTGCTGGGTCAGCTCATACCTTACAGGTCATTTCTATAATTTCTCTTAAAAAGCCTGTTTGTATAAAAAGACAACATGTAGACATCTTGAAATGGCGGTTAGCCTTTGTGGTTCACAATCTCTCTTTGTATATTTACATACACGTTACTAACAGTTTGTTTTTGCCCAATGATCCTGACTGTGGAAAACTGTCTATTTTGACTTGCCCAGTTAAAATGTATAATCAAACAACATCAAGTCTGCAATAACAACAGTGAATGGCAATATTGTATTCCCAGCAATGACTCAAATCAGTGGCTGGTGAAATATTTATTTATTTTCTGCGCAACTTAAATACAATACCTTTAATTATAGCCTCCGCAGCTGCTAGATCTCGCTTGTATGTTACCTACAAAAGGAAAACATCACATTAAAAGAGAAACAACAGTTTGTGCTTAAAATAAATGTGCCAAATATAACTGAACATTAGTTTTGTGGTTGTACACACTGTTAGGAGTGATTTACTGTTTGTTGCAATATATATACACATACAGTGGGGTCCAAAAGTCTGAAACCACTAGTAAATATACTTCTGCTGTTCGTTTTGCTAATGCAATACAAACCTTTTCATTACAGCAGATTATCAGTATAACCAGGGTAAATTAAAATCTTTTCTTGCCAAACAGATGAACATTTCACAAATCTGAGGTACAATATTCAAAACATTTATAATGATACAATATTTGCAAAATATGCACGAGTTCCTTAACAAAATATCTTAATATAGAAATTAATTTCTTAGTTTCTTCATGTTCTAATGGGTTATATTGTTTTAAATCATGAAACAGGGTTGTGCTCCCTGACTTTGATTGCACGATGCAGATGTACATTTTTGTTCATTAACAAAAACAGTAATATCTGTACAACCTGTAACAACCTCATATTTATACTATAGGGTAAAATTTAAATATTCTAACATTGAGTTAGAACTCTATTTTTATTTAAAAAATAACCACAGTATCACACAATTAGATCATGATAACCAAATTTAAAACCACACATAGCATGGTAAAATGTAACTATATGGTTTCTATGGTATTTGTATGAAAAACAGTAGCCTAAATACATTTAGTATAAAAAATATGCACAAATGCTCTAACTCAATAACAACCAGTACTCCTTTAGTACATGTCTACATTAATATATATTTAATTATATAAATTCATAGAAAATTGGGTTCAAAAAGCAAGGAGAAGCATATAAATCTTCGCAGACCCTTCACTGTTGGGGTTGGAGAAGAAAAGCCCCAGAAGAGCCGGAGTGTCAGGTAACACCCAAGCGGGCTTGATATTACCCATTCTTCAGATTGCCTCATCCTCTGTATTCCTTCATGTCATGGTTTTATCTTTATTTAGAATTAATCGAGGACAGACAGCTGTGACTTGACACAGAAAACTCACGCTAATGTTCGATATCGCAGCCAAAAACAACGAGACTGTGAAATCAAAGTTTTCCAGAAGCAAAAAATTCGGCACCCAAAAAAAAAAGGTCTTCTCAGCAGCCCTATAAATCTCAATGCTTCTTTTTAACACTTCTATCTGTTACTGTTATCGAAAGTTTGACAAAAGGCTTAATCAGATCCAAAGATGATGATGATGATGATGATGATGAAATTTCAAATGAAATGATGAAATACACTACACTCCACCTCCATGAGAAATGTTATGAGTCTGGATGAGAAAGCAGCATGTCTGTGAAAGCATTGTTTGAGTTGATCTTGAGAAGAAATACTGCGATAAAACTGTGATCTTGCAGTCAGCTATGTAACCTAGGCCAGACTAAACAATTATGATTTATTATTTTGACACAACTAACTACCATGGGAATAATAATAAAAGTCACAGTGCCTTAGAGCAGAAGAACCGGTGGGTTTATGCAAATCTCAGGGACAATGAACAAAAGAGGCAAGTTGGTCCAAGATTTGTACACTGAGTGTTTCTTTGTCACAGTGAAGTAATATTTGCAGTAAGTGCCAAGCTCCAAACACATTGGATACTATATAAAAAAATAAATACATGTGATGGAAGAGTCACAAAGGCTACTGGGTTAAAAAAAAAATATATAATATACTATATATATATATGTATATATATATATATATATATATATATATGTATATA